AACAATATAGTCCTTTTACCTATTGTAGCCGGTTAACGTTGCCACATAAACCTAGCCCTAACACGTAAGCGATGACATGGCAAGAATTTAAAGCGTCGAACAACCGCAACGACGTCGTATTGAAGGCGAATCGTAAGGAGCAAGGATCGACTGTTCAAGCGCCTCCATATAAAATCAAGACTTCCTTGACCTAAAACGACACATCTGCAAACTTCATTACCCTAATCTCGTCTCTAAGTTTACTCCAAAATGGCTTCGATCGGACATGCAGAACACAGCTGGTCTCCAAATTACCGCCTTCACATGGATGAGAATCATTCGAATGGTGTAACCAACGAAGACATGGCCATCAATCTACTGCAAACCCAGATGAAACTGTCTCTTATACGGAAGGACTTCCAAGACCAGTTGCGTGAGCTCCGTCAGGCAGTTAATCGACACTTAGATGCCATGAACCTTGAGGTCGATGACGTTCGCGCTGGTCAGTTGGATATCTCAAATATGGTGCTGATCTTAAAAATCATTTCGTTTCTCTGCAAGGAGCATATGTGAAGATGGTCTTCAAGACCAACACGTAAGAAGCTGATGTATTGTGTTGGGATTGTTGGTGTTGTTTTCTGCGTCTGTGGTGACGTATTTGGTGTTTAAAGTAAAAAAATGTTGTGTAGGTTGAAGCATTTCAGTCCTGGGTTTGTGTTTTGGTGTGTTATTTATGTTGTTTAGTGTCATATTAGTAGTAGATTTGTGTGGGTCTGGTATTATTTGTGATGTTGGTGTGTGGAGATTTGGTGGTGTGTTGCCTGGGCTGCTGATGGTCATCTTTTTTGATGAGTTTTTTGTCGATGATCTCTCTAATAGGTTATTGAATAGCAGAAAGCGATGTAAACAAACCCATGGCTGAAATGTGTTTTAATATGTTATGATTTGAAAAAAAAATTGTCTTACACCTGTATCTGTATGTGTGCATGAAAGAAAGAAACATTTGGGTATTATATATGTTTTCATCGACTGGGACGGGACCACAAGCCAAGCAAATGAATATACCTTCTTTATGCGCACATACAGGGACCACAAATGGTGCAGTTTGGGAAAAGGACAAAAAATACCTTTGCACACGATTGAACCATATCTGCTTATCTGCAAACCTTTTTTGAAAAAGGGAATCAGTTTTCTAAAGATGGCATTTTCATGTTGAATGGATTAAGTCACAAGTATCCTGTTTTTTACAATGACTTAATTACCCCTGCATTAAAAATGGTCAATTTACTTTGTAATGACTTAATTACCCCCACATCCAAAATGGTCAATTTAATTTTTCTAATGACTAAAATGCCCCCACATCCAAAATGGTAATTTTAAATTTGTATGTCAAATGCCCCCACATCCAAAATGGTCAATATAATTTGTAATGACTAAAATGCCCCCACATCCAAAAATGGTAAATTTAATTTCTAATGACTAAAATACCACACAACAAAACAACATAGTACACCATAAAAGAACATACAAAGATCATTTGTTTACTGCAACACACATTCACTACAAATAACAACAATTATTTAATCCAACTCCATGGCCGTTGCAACACTGCTACCTTCACCTCCCACATTTTTTGCAAGCTTCAGTTTAATGATTCGTTCTGACTTCTTTCGCATTTTAGGCGGTTTAACATGCTTAACTCGAGCATTGACATTCACCCCTTCATCTCGTCCATTAACTCCCACCATTCGCTCTTCATCTCCAGGCCTATCCAAAGCATCAGTAGCATCTACGATTACCTCATCATCCCCTACTCCTGTGTCAACGTTTTACAGACTCCTGTGTAGGTATAGTTTTTTGTTTCTTTGTTCCATTTTGGTTGGATGTCCCTACACCTTTACTACAAGTAGCCTTGTTGTGTCCTTTCTCCTTGCATATGCTACAAGAAACTTTCTTCCCTGCCTTGGAGACGGTATGTTTTCCCATCCGTTCAGAAGCATCTCTTCTTCTCTTTATGGTTGGCCTACCTGGCATACTTCTTTTCAATGGAGGCAAATGGGGTATCAAGTCAGTAGAAGGCCACATATTTTTTCCATTCATCCCATGGATGGGCTGTTTGTAAGTATTATGGTATAATGCAGCCAAGTACATTGGATAATAGTTTGGATCTACATATGGACCATCAGGTGTCAATTTAAGTAGGCTAAGGTGGCAACTGAGTGTATGCAGCCATATCCATTAAGTTGCCATAGCCTGCAGCTGCATTCCTTTTTTTCAACATCCACAGTAAACGCCTCGTCCATTTTCCTTGCCTCAAACTTCATCCCCCCACAAGAAATGACAGGCCAATGCCTACATATATATATGAAAACCGCAAATATCATGAGATGTGAAGAGTAAAGTACTAATGTAATTGGATAAATGTACAAACCTTTGCTCAGTTTGGAGCATATTCAACCGTATTCTAATATTTGGACAAACAGAATAACCATTCCATCCTTGTCCCGTTAGTTTCATAGTCACCATCCTTTGAATCACATATATACAAATGTCCTCTAACATGCTTATTATTGTTTCTTCTTCCGGGCATCCAAAAATCACACTATTAAAACTCTCTGAAAAACCATTCTCTACTGACTCACAAAATTATGAACTCTGAAAAAAGCCAAAGACCAAGTCTTTGGATCTCTATCCATAAGATGCACAAATGCTTCCGGATTTAATTTTCCAATCTCTTTCATAACTACATTAAATTGTGCTTCAGTTGTTGCCTTGCTCGCTTTCCAAAACAGATTTTCAAACTTGGATCCACTAAATCTCTTTCTAAAATTCGCATAGATATGTCTAGCACACTGCCTATGTTCAGCTGCTGGAAATACTTCCTTTACTGCCTCAATCAAACCCTACATAAGTCACATTAATGTTTGAAATTCGAATAGCAATAACTAAATTTAGAACATGCAAGTTTTGAACCATACCTTGTGTTGATCCGAAATTAGAACCAAACCATTACCATCATTCCAACATTGCAAATCTTCTGAAAGAGTTTCTAAGAACCATTTCCAATTCGCTTTGTTTTCCACAGAAACACTACCCAAGCAATCGGGAATATTCCATTGTTAGCATCTCTACCCACAGCACAAACCAACTCCCCTTGACAAAAAGTTTTCAGAAAACAACCATCTAGGTTAATGATCCTCCTATCCCTCTTTTACTGAAGCAAAACATATGTATATTTTGCTGAAATAATTCTTACCATCAGGCATTGAATCAACACAAATTTTAACTGTGGATCCAGGATTTGATCTTCTAATCTCCTCACCATATGACCATAATCTTGCATAATTCTTAATTCTAGCTATTGTCCTTCACTAGAGTCAATGCATACTTCTTGGCTCGCCTACACTGACTCATACTCACATTAATCCCAAAATCGGTTTTTACCTCCTCTCTAAGCATTCAGACGCTCATCTTTTGATTGTTATAAAATTGGTGCTTAAAGTGGGTCCCTATCCATTTGTAAGTTACAATTGATCCGAATTTGAAATTCTTTGCACATTATGCTCACCGATAAGAGATTTTATCTGGAAAGACTTCTACTTCACTCATCCAAGAACCCCAAGCCTAAAAGTACATTTGCCATCACAACATTTGACAAGTAATCGTCTAGTATCATTCTTAACAAAACATAATTGATAACCATTCGCGACAGCATAGTTACAAAGCATGTGTTTCAATTGCTTAGGACTCTCAAACCTCATACCTAAAACAGGATCCTGCTCCTTCCAATTGAGCTTATCATTGAAAATGTTTGGCAATTCGGGATAAACATCTTCATTGTCACCCATGTCTTCTTCGAAAAACTCACCTGCACCTGCTTTCTCACCCATCTCTACCTGAATCTCATTACCCTTTATAAAAAAAATGAGGCTTCTGATGGTCATCCTCATCGCCATCGACATCCTCATCCTCGTCGTCATCATCGTCGCAATTCTCTTCCTCATCGTTTGTGTCACCCACATCCCGATGCCCTGGTGCAACTTCCTTAACCAGTCCTGCACCATCAAGTACTTCTTCCTCAACGTTACCAACAAACTCGTCTTTGTGTTCATCCAACCATTCCTGTATGTTACTATTCCCAAAATGGTCTACATACATAGGGAGTATAACACCACATTCATATGCAATTGCTATGAAGTCGTAATAATCGGGGTCATTGCAAATTAGAGCTTCTCACACTTTTCCCCAGTGAACCTTTCGATGAACGCAACACACCCATCCTTGTCCATTCCTACGAAATCGATGTCCGAAAACCTCTGAAATAATTCCACCGGTGTAGCGTATGGGGTTTCTGGCGAACATTCCTTAGAAGTGGACATCTACTTGTAAGAATACGGGTTCCATGCTTGAGGATTCAGAAGCAGCTCACAAAAAAGGGTTTACCAATGAAGTGTTGAACAGTGGATGTAAAAGGGCTCTTTTATAAAGCATATACCGACATTAAGAAGGAGGCGACTAATTAATGACATGGCATTAGACGAAAGTCACAGTCAGCATCCGATGTGGTGTTAGTAGAAGGAGGTGGACTTAAAATGACCGGCTAACCCCTTCAAAATTGAAATAAGGACTTAATCGACCCGACAAAGAGTAATTTGGTCCCTTATTAAGCCACAAAATAAGTTAAGTGGCTAAATGGGTCAACCCTAGAAACATTATAGGGCCTATACGTCATTTTCCCTTTAAACATATTATATAAACTTTTTAATGTTAATTTTAATATACATTATTTAACATAAAATCTATTAGTATATCCAAAATATGTGCGACACCTTCTTTTGTTTCTTAGGTTCATTGAAATTCAAAATAAAATAGAGATCGTGAGATTCAACCTTAGTCATATATTTCATATCTGCCGCTCTAACCCTCCGGCGTACCAGCGCGACGGGTCAGTTATAATCATAAATGATTATATAGCGTCGTCCGTTCCTTTCTCCTCCGCCACCATCCCCACCACCACAACTGCCACCACCACCACCACTACCACCACCTTTGTCACCGGCCGACCTCACCACTGCCATCTCCGCCACTTATACCACCGTCACCTCTGCCACTACCACCTTTTCTGTCACCAACTGTCATAATCATATATGATTACTCAATCTGTGAACAAACATATATGTATAACCATTAATAATTAGGTATATACGTATAAACATGCATAATCATATATGATTATACCTCTCTGTCATGTAATCATTTATGATTAGGCATACCCCACTATTGCCGGTACGCTTGAACGTTAGAGCGGCAAATAAGAAATATATGACTGAGGTTGAATCTCAAGATCTTTAATTTTTTATGAATTTCAAGTGAATCGTCACACACACAGTATATATAAATAATATATATATATATATATATATATATATATATATATATATATATATGCTAAGTATTGTTCGATTCGAACCAAAAGATTTATAAGAACTTGCAAACTCATAATCAACTCATCATTTTTCAACACCAAAAATATCAATCTTCTCCAAATGGTACGTCTAAGCCATATCTAGATTAAAAAAAAAAGATTTGACAATTTTTTTTATTTATTTGTGAAATTTGCATATATGCACAATTAGCAGTTATACGGCTGCTGATGAGCACAATCAGCACTCTATATGACTGTTGATTGTGTTCATCAGTAGTCCGTACAACTGCTCATTGTGCTCATCACCAGTCATACAAAAAACTAAAAAGAAAAAAAATCGTCAAATGTTTTTTTTAGCCTAGATATTGGTGTTTTTGGTGTCGAAAATGATGAGTTGATTATGAGTTCGCAGTTTCTCACAAAGCTTTTAGTTATATCTTGAATTTTCAGAGGTATAAGTTACAAGGCTTTTAGTACAAATCAGTTATACATAAATAAATCATTAATAGTTGCCAAAAATTTGAAGCCTTTAATTAAGGAAGATTATTAAAAAAATAATTTGGGACAAAATGACAATTTTAAAATATTAAATTCATGTATATAAATTATTTTATATATCTTAAAGTAGACACCAATGTTAATTAATTTACATCAAATGTATAAACAGACAATATAAATATAAAGTGTAAACATAAATATTTTATTTAAAAGTGGTAATTTTTTATATATAATAAATAATAATAAAATTAAATGATTATTTCCCGGTAAAAAAAAATATTCGCAAAAAGAGTTGTTTATCGCCGCTGCATTGCACGGGCACACATCCAGTATATAGATATATATATATATATATATATAGCTATATATATATATGATATATTATATAATATATATATATATATATATATATACTCTTTCTCGGTAAGGACTATTTTAGAAGGTAAAATACTTAACCAAAGATTCAACATATATTTTGCATGGTATCATAGTTGTTGTCTAACATCGTGATGGCTTAATACATCATTGCCTATAAACATTAAGGTGTTGTTTGTTTTTTTAAAAAAAAATCACTTCTGACCACTTATTATTGCGCCGCGCCACACACGCGCAACACTTGGCCCTTCGCAGCTGTGTGTTTTTCAGAAGACTTCTGACTTAAAAACTGTTGTGCGTGTGCTGCGGGCGCAACACTTGATCATCTGTTTCAAACCTCTTCACACTTTACTTTAACTTACTGCAACATTCTGTAGAGATTAAAAAACAAACATACTTTTTATTATATGTTGCAGCCGTTTGGTCCCCCTCTTCTGCTACAGAGGGTTGCAGAGATGATCCGCAAACGTTCAGTCATTTTCGTTTCGAAAAAACAAACGACATCTAACTCTTAATCTGTGGGAGTGATGTTAGTGTATATCACATCGACACACACACATATATATATATATATATATATATATATATTGGAGTCAACCCTCTATCTTCATAGGCTATTTTAAAGAATTGTTGAATCCAACATATATATAAAAAAATATAAGACAACGCAATAAAGAAATTCCTATAGGATTTTTACAAAACTTGTTCCTATTTCTCCAACCTATTTATACAAGTTACTAAGTTAGTAGCATTTAAGAACAATTTTTTTTATACAACCTATTTATACAAGTTACTAAGTTAGTAGCATTTAAGAACAATTTTTACAAAAAGAGATTGTTAACAACAATCTGACAATCTTAAAGAGGCTTTTTCTTTAATAAATAAGTTAAAATAAAGTAGTAGAAAAATAATTTATTTAAAAATTAAAACAGAAAAAAAAAAACTGTCGCATAAAACTATAAAGTGTATTTTTTTGACCGTATATGATATTTCTGAAAAGAGAAATTAAATATCCTCCTACCTTTTAACCCTACCAATTCTCCTATCAATTTAAATGATGACATGTGTCATATGAGTATCCTAAAATATCATTAAATAAGCATTAAATGTTATACATGTCACAATTTCAATGGATAGAAGGATATATAGAAACAAAAAGTAGGAGGATATTTAATTTCTCTTCTGAAAAAAAAAAAAAAAAAAGTGTTTGTTTTGTGACTGAAGAGATAAAAATGTCTGCTCAACTCAAGGTCTTTAAAGTGAAAAAAATAAAATAAAAATAAGCTTGAAGAGGTTCACTGTCTAAAACCTAACTCACGCTCCACCCCTGGTCATCTTCACGCCGGCCACCTCCGCCTCCGGCCTCCAGAGCCGACGCCGACGCCTCCCCCTTCTTTCTCGCTGTTAACGCCACCCGCTTGAGGTACACATCTCGGTCTTTCTTCTCTTCTCTATTTTTTCTCCACTTTTGAATATAGCTCTAACTATAGCTGATTAGTGCTGAAGTCGTCACTATTCTCTTGTCTATTTTCTCTCCACTCCTGGATATGATTAGGGCTGATTATTTTTGTTTATTAGGGCTGATTATTTTTGCTTATTAGGGCTGATTATTGTTGCTTAGCATATACATATGAAACTGATTAGGGCTGATTATTGTTGCTTATTAGAGCTGAATGACTATTGTTGCTTAGCATTTATATAAGAATCTGATTAGGGGTGATTATTGTTGTTTTCTTCTATGTCTCTGATTTTTGATGTTGAAGCTGCTTTTGAATCTGATTAGGGCTAATTTTTGCATCTTTGAAGCTGTTTTTTGATATTTATGCTGATTTTTTATGTTTATGCTGAATTTTTATGTTTGAAGCTGATTTTTGGTGCTTGAAAAAGACTACAGCCATTGTACCTCTTCAAAAACAAACAGTTTTTTTTTTTTTTTTTTTTTTTTTTTTTTTTTTTTTTTTGCAGCAGATTGCATACTTCTGGTCCACAAACAACACCTCAATGTTTTAAAATACACGTTTTACTTTAAACTATCTCATAAAAACAGAGTGCGCCAGCATACTCGATACATCAGTATATTTTTTTAATTGTAATATCTGAAATAACTAAATGGTGGAATACACTCAATACAGAGATAAGTGGATATTTGTTAGTTTATCATAATATACGGGGAATGCATAGGTTAAAATAAGGATTTCTAAAAGCAGTGATATTCAAGTTTAGATTACCAAATTAAAAATTCCTAGATTATGAAGGTATATGTTTATGATTATCCTTGTAAAGGGGATACCTAAAATGTCTGAAAAAAAGTCATATTAGATGATAGATCTATGAATTTCTCCACTGATATGAGTTAGTTTTGTGACACTTCCGAATAAAGAAATTGAAGAGACGAGAATGCAAAGAGGAGACATATAGACATATTTGACTTGTACTTGACATTTTATTTCTACACAATCAACATACACGCTGATTGTTCCTTTTGCTATTTTCTGTTATAAGAAGTATTTTTGTGTGATGATGTATGACACTTTTAGTTTTATATATAATATATGTATGTGGTAAGTGTACACTGTATACATATATACATGCAAACACACGCACGATATACATGCATGCATTTTTGCACTAAAACGTATTCCTCCTTTAAACTATTAATGCAGCCTTAATGATTTAGTAAGTTTTAAAACTCCAGAAACAAAGTCAATGGAGTCAAAGTCACCAGTCAATCTAACGGGTACAGCTAAGGCTGCAAAATATGCACCACCTCTTGGCCTGGTTGACATAGGCGAAAGCAAACATGCATACATCTTTCGCGTCTCCTTACCCGGTGTCTGTAAACCTCAGTGTAAGTTCTAATTACTAAATTGCCCCTACACTAATAACTCCTTATTTCAAATACCCAAAACCAAAAGAACTATAATTTCATTGCAGGCAATGTAAAGCTGGATATCCGTAATGACGGGCGGGTCGAAATCGAAGGAGTTATCCAAGAAAGCGAATTTATCAACAAACATTCCAACAACAAATACAAACCAAAACTCCAACAACTACCACCTTCCGGAAACTTCAACATTATATTTAACCTACCTGGTCGTGTTGACCCACGGTTGACCGTTCCCTCCTTCCGAAACACCGGAATACTCGAAGTGGTTATCATGAAACACATCACACCCAACAACTCGGGTACCCCTGTCCCCCCTATTCCCATCTAGCTTGTCCATTTGACTTTCTTGGGTTCATTTTTTTTAAAAGTATTAAAGAGCCCGATTTATTATGATTATGTGTAACTTTTGTTATGTTGCGACGTTTTTATTTAGAAATCTCGTAAAAGTTTACAAATCAAGAAACGGAAACATGACAAGTTTTAGGACATTTATCAGTTTTTTGTTTTCGTAGGGTAGGAAGCCATCATGTAGAGCCCACACATCCCTTCGGACTTCCCGGTTTTTCTCTTCATTCTTATGTACCCTTTTTCACCCCATTTTGGTCCCCATGAGTTTCTCACTATCACATAATCCAGTCCCTTGGTTGTCCCGTATCCAACGGCTGCTACTCCATGATCCAATTCGGTCCCACAATGCCCGTCAAACACACCCTACACAACATTTTAACTTATTAAGTCATTCTATTCGGATTAAGTAAAAAAGAAACAACCAGAAACATTTTAACTTATTAAGTCATTCTGTTCAGATTAAGTCAAAACAAAACGTCTCTCAAGTCTTACCCCACTGTAAAACTGGAAATCACGACCAGAGGCTTCAATTGCGACACTGATTGGTTGGTTTGCAAGTGCCTTCAAGAAACTATCTTCGTTGTTGCGAGGCACATCGTGATACCCACTAATCGTCACCTTTTCTGATACATCCTATAAGAATAAATAAATATATCTTTTAGAATTTAGAATTTTATAAATTTTCATAGGGTTAAAAAAAAAAGTTTAACCTTTTTGTCATCGCATGTGCCTTCACTCATGATATAAGGATACTCTTCTTCTTTATGAAGCCCACCATTCCTCATAATATAAGCAAATGCATAGTCCATGAGACCTCCATTACAGCCATTGTTGAAGCTCGTGTCACAATCAATCAGTTCCTGTTCTGATAACACGGTTAAATTTCCTGTCACGATTTGGTTTATACCTTCCACCGCAGCCACAGTTGAAAACGCCCAACAACTACCTGTATATGAATATGGAATACACATTTCAAAACAAACATTAAACAACTCTCACTTGTACTCCAAGCTTTATAACTTGTACTTACTAACTACAACTTACCACATTGACCTTGGTTCTTCACCGGAGACACGGCTCCTTTTTTTCTCCAATCCACCGATTTTGGCATATCGACGAAATCTTTATACATAAATTCTTCATTGGACTCGGTTTGTTTCAACTCAGGGGTGAGCCCTAAGAACTTGTTCTTGAATTCTTCATGTGTCATGTCAACAAACTCGTTGAGTCCAAGCCAGTAATTGTTGACTTTCTTGTTTGTGTCATCAATGTGTTTAAGGTTGTCCATGAAGATCTCGAATCTATGTAGCTTTTCGTCTAGACTTTCGTAGAGTTTACTGTGTTTAGCAACCCATGATTCGAAAAGATTGATGACTTTATGAATGGAGGCTAAATCCTCTGGAGCGTATCCTAGGATTGAAAACTCGTGGGAGAGAGTTGAATAGACTAAGATTGAGATGAATATGATGAAAAGGGAGGATTGTTTGGAGGAAATGAGGATTGCCATGTTTGTGTTGTGTTGTGGAGGATATATGAATGGAGGAGGGTATATATAGGCATGGGTTTATGTTGCTTTGAAGTTAAGATGTTTGAAAAAATATATATTATATGATTTCTTTAAGTTTGGTTCTTTTTGGTAATCTTTTCATACAAGCATGTCTCCTTAGGGAACACTTAGAAGCATGAACTTGATCCAAACAATTTATTAATCATCGTTCGTGGTTGGTGAGTGATTTGTGCATTCTTATTGGAACTTATCATATTTTCATATCGCATTTGACACGTGTTGAACTGTTAGTTTCAAGTTTTTGTTAAGAAATTGATAGAGTGAGAGGGTAAGCCCCAGTGAGATAATTTGATATGTTTTTTTTTTTTTTTTTTTTTTCTAAAAGATGGAACATATTTAGACTGCCGAACGTTTATAGTCGATTTTTAAGAGTACAAATGGGTAGTCAATAGGATCATTTTGGATTCAAAAGGAGGATTTAAAGATCCACAAATGATTTTAATGATAAAACTTCAACATACTAACATATATTAATATATTTAATTTAATTTATTAATTTAAATATTTTGTTCAAAATTTTCTTTCAAAAAAAAATAATATTTAAAAAATAACTCTAAATCAAAAACTAAATTTAATATTTTTTTTTTCATGTACACGTGTACAACATGACCATTGATATGTATTTTTAAGAAACGTGTAACTTATCATCATATTCATAATACCTGGGAAAAGATCCGTGACGTAGCACGGATCATTCATTTTAGAAAAAAGTTAAAGGGCTATCGTAAATGAAAATGACAAAGAATAAAGAAAAAATGTTGAATTTAACAACTTTTTAGAAAACATGTGGCGAACGTCTAAATTTTAAAAAGTCAGGTTGATAATAGAAGATAAAAAAAAGTATTAAAATAGAATAATGTTGGAAAATTGGAGACTAAACTGTAAATGGATTAAAGACGAAAATGACAAAGAATAAAGAAAAGGGGTTGTAAAGAAATAAAAGTGAAAGTTTAGTGGCAACAGTATAAAAAAGTAAAAATGAAATGGCAAGATTATGAACATATGAGAAAAGTAATAAATGAATCTTTTCAGAAAAAAAAAATAAAGGGCACAAAAATGATAAAAAATAAAAAATAAAAATAGTTGTAAAGAAGTAAACTGAAAGTTTAATGGCAAGAATATGAAAAGGTAAAAATGAAGTGGGAATGGCTCATGTTCAAACGTCCCATGGCCTTTAATATATATATATATATATATATATATATATATATATATTATATATATATATATATATATATATATACTAGAAAACTTTGAGGTCCGTGCTAAGCACGACCCAAAAAAAGGTAATTTGTATATATTTTTTAAGGTGTCTAAAGTATGTTATGTTAAAAACGAAAAAGGTTAAAGTACAATGCTACAATATATTGCTTGAATCATTTAGAGTCTTGACCAGCCATCTAAGCAGAAAAGATGAACTCTAGGTTTGTTAACTTGAGCATCTTCGCCTGTTAAGAATCATGAGAAAATGAATTAATTTGGAAAATATGTTTTGCTCGATTTATAGATATACAAGCTATAATACAAAGTTTATTCATTGCAAAATTAGTATGCATTTTGTTATAGAAAAGCAAACACCAACCATTCTTTTTCATTGCATTAACACAAATATGTTGCGTAAAAAACATAATAGAAAACTTTGGCATCAAAGAACTTATAAAATATCTTAAAGTATATTAGAGCTAACAATATACATATACTTTATGGTGTTTTATAAGGTATGTAATGTCGATTTTTTCTCAAATGATTGTTTAAGAGCATCATTGAGTTTGACATTAATTTTGCATTTTTATAACAAAAAACATGCATAATATATCATTTTGCATTGAATACAGTAAGATTGAGTTTCATGGGAAATAATATTTTTCTTAAAAAACAAAAAGTACTATTAGTTGCATCAGTCCAATTAACATGACCCTTCTGTAAATCAGTTTCATGTGAAAGAAAGAATGAAACAGTAATTATTAAGTGAATAATCAAGAAAATGGCAAATTTTGTAAAGATTAATTTACTTAATAACCAAACTTAAGCAAGAAATCCCTATCTTTTACTGATATCTAGAAGCTTTTTTTTTTTTTTTGACATTAACATACACATATCAGTTTTTGAAAAGTAGAAATCATATCATTTACATGAATGGGTGGTTTTTCATAATTATGGAAATATAAATACAAATAGTTTCCAAAATTGATCATTTTTGAAAAGAAAAGGGCATAAACTGTAAATAGATTGAATTTTCCCCTTGAATCTCATATAAAGCATGTTTCCCTTTTCAACCTCTACGGACAAAAAATTGTCATTCTTCAAAAATAACGGTATAAAATTTCCCATATTGGTAAAGGAGTCAAAGTGGTGGCCATTAGTCAATTATAGACAATTTGTAACGTGAAAACAAACAAATAACAACACATTTACCTGTTTATACTTATATAGGTACCAACTCACATTCTTTACCAATATGGACAACTTGCAATCTGAAACCAATAAAAATAGCAACATATTTACCTGTTTTAACCAATATAGGCAACCTAACTCACTATCTAATCACAATAGCAGCCAATTTACATTTTCTTTTACTGATGTGGACAGCTTGTAACCTAGAAACATACAAAATAATGGTGTGGCATCGTCTGTGGTTCCCATATGGGAGATCCTGTGAAGGACCATAAATGTTGGGATAAGCCTGAATCATTTTCAAAAAAGATAGATTTTTGCCTTTATGGTCCGACATCACAACATGTCCCAATTATGTTTATTGTATCATATTCAGGATTTTGTAAAAATCAAATAGAGAAAGTTCATGAAACTAATGTGAATTAGGTCACACAGGGAAAAGAAAAGGAAACAAACCAACGATAACAAACAACCTTCCTTGAAGCCTGTGAAATCAGTAAAAATGTTATTATGACATTAATGCTTAAAATTTTCAATATAAACTTGTCCACTTAGTACTTGCAAAGGAGAAAGATTTCCAGAGTTATAGTAGCATGTTTATGTTCCCTTATTTGTAGGAATCTTTTCCTGGTAGTGCAACCAAGGATGCTTGCTTGGTGTTAACTGTAGAAAGTAGTAAGCCTGAATCAGAGTTCTCTACATTGGTATTCACAATTTGATATCCATCAGATAATTTAGGGTTTTAACATCCAATCTTGGATTAATCCTAAACAACAATAACAAAAGTCGAAATTAAAATTAAAATCAAATTAGGGTTCTGTAGATATTAATGTGTAATTATACATACCCGAATCGAAAATAGGCACCATAAGGAGCGACTTTGAAAGTCTTCATCGCTGTAAATTGATTCAACGATATACTCAAAGCCACTGATCGACACCACTGACGCTTGTTGTTCTCTTCCACCAGAAATTCAAATCCAATAGGCATAGATATTGGTGTTGGCGATTGAAATTGAGAAGAAGAAACTTAAGCATTTAGATCGATTTGACGAATGATGATGCTAACGATGATTAATCGGGAAATGGGTCGTGGTGATGGTATCGATTGAATAAAAAGGATTCAGGCGATCGATGGGGATTAAATAGAGAAAACGGGGACCGGTCCCCGAAAAATAAACTGGTTGACCAGGCTTCACTCTCTGTAGCTCTCGATTTTCACCCTCCATGGGTTAGAATAAAGGTTTGGGATTTATTAGACGGGGATGATGGGTTTCGGCGGAGGGAAACGGTGGAATGGGGCGGTTTCAAATGGCTGAAACATCAAGGTAACGATTCTCCAAAGTGTTGAACATGTGTGTCGGATAGTTTGGAAGAGGGAGAAAGAAGAGCGTTAATCGAAATTATGGAACATTGTGTCTGTCCAAAAATAGATGACTTGGAGTCTATAGAAGGGTGCGATTTTGATTTAGAAGGCAACAGAAAATTAAGGTTTTTATATATAGTAATGATATATATATATATATATATATATATATATATATATATATATAATTATAATTATAATTATAATTACAGTGTTTTTTTAACAAATGTACATGTGTTCTCTCATATCTGTAGCTTTTAGAATGCCTAGCCATGAGAAATAAGAGGGCATTAGGAAAGACTATCAATGCAGTGACACACACACCAAAATATCATGGACGTACTTGGTAGCGAGCGTTTCGGAATAAAAAGTTTCGTTGAGAATATGAGTATATCTTTTAGCTTAAGCAAAAAGTTTCAAAACTAAAAGCTATTTTAAGAAAAAGTTTTTTAGTTTTTTTTAATCAATTTCCAGAATTGTCCTTAGAAATATATTTATATATTTTTGTTTTTAAACAATTGTCATTTTATGTAAATTTACACATTTCAAAAACTTTTAATTATTTTTGTCAAACACTCATATAACAAATAAAAATTACAACTACGGTTTAGCAGATACCCGCTATCAGTTTCTGGTTAACTGATACGAGCCCATTTGAGGATTACACCAACCCAACACATAATAACCCAGTTATAAGTATGCCAGGCCCAAACCAGTAACAAGGAAGCCTACTAAATTGGTGGATTAATGAAGAGTCAAAGAAGAAAATTAGAAGAATTGGTACGTGGTTTTGGTAGGATCTGAATTTTTAAGAGGTCTGAATTTTTAAGATGGTCTGAATTTTTAAGATTTGAATTTCTAACATGATGTTAGGTTGGAATTTATGAATTGTTGTGCTGAATTATAAAAATGACTATTTTACTCTTCTGTTTTTTCAGGACAAAACATCACTTTTGAGTGATTTACAAAAATCGTCCTTATAATTTGGTTTAAATTACATTTTCAACATATTATAATCAATGTGCCACTAATATATACAAGATAACTCCTCCATCGAAATATTTGGGGCTCGCTTCGATTTTCCCTCCAGCCAAAAAATTCCCTTCCTTTCATGAAATTTGAAATTGACCGCCAAAGAAAATTTATACTCCTGGTTCGTCGATCAATTAATTTGAAGAAACGCTGCTCTCAATTGTTCATCATATGTGATTATTTTCTCTTCCTAAATATTTTCTAAATCCTCAGTTGACAAATGAATTTTAAGATACCATTTTGGTTTTCTGGATCTCGATCTGTTCTTTACTCATGTGCTATTGATATTAAATCAATTTAATTGTGATATTCTTTTTGACCAATTTGCTTCTTAATGAGAATTTTGTGATTTTTGGGACTATAGATGAAGATCTACCGATGAACATGAAATTTTGTTCCAATTCTTGAGATTTGATATATTGATGCTTTAATGGTTGCCGATTAATCGATAATAGTTGATTTGATATATCAATGGTGGTTGATTAATCGATGATAGTTAATTTGATATATGGATGGTGGTTGATTAATCTAATGAACATCAGATTGGATTTAATTGTGGTTCAATGGAAATTAGCCGTAGAGAATGGATTACGTCTAAATTTGTTAGAATGAAATTTAATTTGGAATGGATTTCAAGGCAAAATCTGATGCGGAAAAGAGAGTCAATTTTTGGTTCTTGGTTTCATTGTTTTAATAAATTAATCAATATAGAAAAACAAAATTAATAGTTATGGACTAAAAAATAATTAAAAAAAAAACACATTGACTAAATATATAATTTTAATCAAACCATAAGGATGATTTTTGTAATTTAAATGACTTTTAGTATACATTAGGTATGGATAAATAAATGAACATGTGTCAATTGCTTATTGGTTCCTAATTTGATGCCCTAGTTAGTTATTTTCCACGTAACCTAATCTTTTATATATATATATATATATATATATATAGAGGGTGAGGTTCAATAGAGAATCATAATTAACCAAGAAACCAATCTTTTTTTCAACTTTTAGAACTTATTTTTTATCAAAAAAAAAACTAAAAATACAGAAATTCATAACTTTTTATCCTTTTTCCAATGATATAAAATTCGATTTTTTTTACGTCAAATTCACAATGTGAATCTTTGAAAATTCACAACGTGAATCCGGATTCACACGGTGAATCCGAAAAATATTTTTCACATTCACAATGTTAATATATGAATTTAGATATTTTTAGATTTTTTTTTCGATAAAGAATAAGCTCTAGAAATTGAAAAAAAAGATTTGGTTCCTTAAAGAACCAATAGTTATGGTTCTCTATTGAACTTTTCCCTATATATATATATATATATATATATATATATATATATATATATATATATATATATATATAGGGTTAGGTTATTTTGTTTTACTAACTATTGTGTGCCAGAATGCACAGACCTGGACCACCGGATGGAATAGAATCAAAGGTCATGATCTGAGGGTCTATGATATTACAATAGGGTAGCATGTACCATATAATCACACAAATTTCAGCATAAGGGCATTTTAGTCAATTAAGATAAATTTAAAAAAGGAAAAATCGAGATTTATGGGATAATTAATGATTTTGATTTAAAAAATCTGATTTTTTTCAAATTAATTCAATTTCGAACATAATTTCTAAGCATATACCGATTTTATTCTATCAGAATGTCATTTTGTTAAAATATATTCTGTAATTCTGTCAGAATGGTATACAACTATGAACATAATATTATAAACACATATTATCAAGATCAATAATTTTTAATGAATACAAATGTTATATAAGACGAAGTTTAATAGTTTAGAATAAATAATTACATTCATTCTTAAAGAATACAACTATGAACATAAATTACATTCATTCTTGAAATCTCTTGCAAAAAAAATATCGGCATTCTTGAAAGAATCATCATTCACTTTCTTGTTTCGTTCCTAGATGTTTTGTGTATGTTTGACATCTAAGCTACTTCAAAATATCTAGCATTCTATGAGATTGACATTTTGTGAGATTGACATTGTGTCAGAATTGTATTGCATGAGAATGATTTTATAGAAGGAGCTGCAAAAGGAGATAAACTCGAGGATGGTAAGTGATCCCTTGGCAAAACTTGAAACATCTAAAAAACATAAGAAACAAAAATCATGTTAAAACATCAGCCAATTGCAATACAACCCTTGCATAATCATTCTTATGTGATTATACCGGAAATACAATTCTGGCAGAATCATTCATATGTGATTTCCAAGATGATAATACTCTCTACAAAATATTCTTAAAGAATGAAATAATTATTCTTACATAATGAAAAAATTGAAGATAAGAATAAACACCCAATAATTATTCTACAGAATATACTTAAGTGATTTCCAGCACCTGATATATTTCATAATCGAAAAGTGATTCCCTCTCTTTCAATATTGAAAGAAAATGAGAGTAATTCTAAATTTAAAGTATGATAGAATAACATAATTCACTGTTTTGATTTTGTTTACCTTAGGAGATGAGATGCACAACAATAAACATTCCATCGCTAACCATGAATACAATCTGAGGCTCCCATATTTCTCTTTGGCATTTCATCAAACACTTTAAGGGCGCTCCCTAAATCACCACATTTTCTATGAATCATGAATGAAAAAAAATCCAATTCAGAACCATCAACATCAAATTCATATGAACAACAATATATTTCAACACCATTATAAAAATCTAAAACTAAAAGTTGAAATTGTAGAAATTGGCTAGTTGGAAGAACGAAGAAAAAAACCTGTTTTCTATGGAATAGAATTGCAAGTCTAGTAAATTAAATTGTAGAAATATCTTTGACCAACTATTGGAGATAGAAGCTAGCTTTGATTGGAGATGGAGTCGTCGAGAATAACATCTTCATCTTGTCAACGGAATGGGGAAACATATTTGCAGCTTCTGATCCACCGCTTCTTCTTCATTCGTCAATAAGAAAAGAAAATGGGAGGAGGCAGAAATAGAATACGTATCATATGAGAGGCTAGGGTTAAATAATTGGTCAAAGAGATTTTTATGGTAATTTCCATGAATTAAGGGATTTTATTTTAAGTATTATGCTAAAGTTACATAATTACCCTTATAACAATTTTATTTATTTAATTATTCCTAAATTCCTATTGGTGCATTCATGCACACAATAGTTGCTAGAAACATTTGAACCTAGCTCTCTCTCTCTCTATATATATATATATATATATATATATATATATATATATATATATATAGGTTCAAATGTTTCTCACATCTATTGTGTGCTAGAATGCACCAATAGGAATTTAGTATTAATTATACGTATATTAAATGTTATCCATACTTATAACTCATTTTTATGGAAACTAATTAAATTCGTCATTAATGTCAACAATAATATTCTTTCAGAATGAATTCATATCTAGAAGAATGAGAGTGTATTTCAGCAGAATGAGAGTGTGTTCTAGTAGAATACACTCTCGTTCTTCATATTCCATGCAACTTTATTGTATTTTAAGTGAGTGAGTTCTGAAACGAAATACGAACTCATATATAAAAACCTAGATGCGAATTCATTC